AACATACACCTCACTCACATACATCCCCCACCAAAAACTACCCTCACCCCCTCCCCCATAAAATAACCTCCCCCCCACTTATAACAAAAACCAACCTAAAAACCACCAACACATACTCCCAAATATAATCACCACATTCCACACCAACCCCAACCCCCCCACCCACCCCCCCACCCCAAAAAAACCAATCCACCCAATCCCTAACACCCCAAAAACCAATCTCAAATAAAAATTACCCCATCAAATAAATTACTCACAATCCCTTAAAACCTTACTACCCCTTCCAACCTTCTAACACCCCCATCTCTAACATCAAAACCAACCCTACAACACACCACACTAAAACACTTAAATCATAACATCTAACCCACCACCTCAAAACCCATAAAACTAAACCAAACATCCTCCTCCCAAACATAAATATACCACCTCTATTAATCTACTCCTTCCTTACTATAATCTACTATACCCCCCATTTTCTAAAATAAACACAATCTACCTCACCATTCCCCAACATCCCCCCTAACTTTTTTAACTCATACCATAACCCCCTTAACCCATCATAACAAATCATATCACCATCCTTCAAACAACAAAACCTCATATACCCCAAACAAAAAAAAAACCCAAAAACAATATACCAAACACCCTAAAACCATAAAACAAAAATATATCAACATAAACCAATTATCTATACACCATAAACAATACTTTAACACCTTAACAAAAAACCCTATCCTCTACCAACCCCCCACCAACAAATCCAACCCAACACCTTAAACCCAAAACCAAAACATAACACACCTCTCCCCCCCCCTCTATAATAATCTCTCATCATCATCACCCAACTCCAACATAATCATACCCACACAAAACACAACTAACAAATCATACAATACACCCAATATAAAAATCCCCACATTAACCCAATAACCTTAAAAACTAAACTTACACCTCTTCTTCAAATCTTCTCCATTATACCCAACCCCCTCACCTAAAAACATAAAACATACTTCTCCCCCTTAATACCAACAACCCCCCAAAAACCCCCACAACCCCATCCACTATACAAAAACCAACACACTTCACATCATCCTCTCTTATCTATACTTTAATCAAAAACTCCCCAATTCATCTTTATCCTCCCCCTTCTAAACTTCTTCCCCCTTAAAAACACAAACAAACCCCACATTAACAAACCCATTCTCAACACAACTCCACCCCAACCATTCAAACCCCCCTCTTCCATTAATCCCACCTATTCCATATCTTACCAAACACCTTACCCTCCACCACTTTAAAATTAAATACATCCCCCCCCCCATTTTCCACCAACAAAATATACTCCCCCCATACCATCATCAATCTACAAATAACCCAATCAATTCATCTACTATCACCCCCCCTCCACTCAATATTATAAACCCCAAACCCCTCTTTTTACACTCCTTCTCTATACTCTATCCCTTCAATCCCTCCCCCTAAAACCTATTCCCAAATTCCCCATAACCCTTACCCCCATTCTACTTTATCCAAAAACATCCCCCCCCTCCCCTACCCTCCATAACAACAACATTCCCACTAACCCAAACACTATTCTACCATAACTACCACCAAAACCCCAACAAATTAACCTACCACACCACCCACCAACACAACCTACTAATCCCATACAACCAAAATCAAACAAATAAATAAAACATATCATCAAAAATCATATATCCTATCCTTCCCCCAAATATAATCTATACTCCCTTTAACCCCCCCACCCAAATCAATCAATAATCAACCATAATCATCATACCTATATCACCCTACCCCAAAAAACAATAACACCTTTCCACACCAATACATCCTCTAATCATTATTCTAACCCTCCAACAAATTCCACACCTAACTCTACTCTACTATCCCCATTTATCCCCCTCCCACTCCTTCACCCCCACCACATCTCCTCCCTATACCTTCCCCACTTCCCCCCCTCAATCACAACAAATACAAAACTAACCCCCCTACCCCCACCAAACCCATACCCAACCCATCTCCATCTAAAACCACACCAAAACTTCCCATCTCACCCTCACTTACACCTCATCCCTCACCTTCTCAACACTATCCTATCAAACTCCCACTACTCTCCCTACTCATTCAACCAAAATACCTCCCATTCTTAAATACCTTTAAAAATCCAAACATCCTACCCTCCCTAATACCCAATACACCTCCCTCTATCTTTCCTTCCTCACTAACTTCATACTCTAAAAATTCATTCCCTTATTTTTCAAAACCCTTAAAACTTCCCTAATCCCATAATAATCCCCCTTTTTAATACTTCTAAACTTACTCTTTCTTTCAATTACTTTATTTTCAATTCATATTATTCCCTCCCATATCAAAATCTACCCTTATCCCACCTTACAATCAATCCCCACCCTTTCCACCCCTACTTCCTTCACTTCAACCCCTCTCCCTACTTCCTATTACTTTAAATTCTCTCAATTTCCCCCCCCATCATCCCAAAACTTACTTAAACCCCCTCATATCATTAAACACTAACCCCCCATTTCTTTACAAACACCCCACACAAACCTATACCAATAAATCTCAAACCACTCCTAAACCCATCTACCCTTCACTAACTCCTACACAAATCATCCCCTCCCCCCCCCCCTACCATCCTAACTAAACAATCTAACACCTTAAAAATCACCCCATAACCCAAACATCAAATATTTCCCCCCCCTACCCCAACTCCTTACATACACTCCTTACCTTTCCAACAATCTACCCACATCATCCCCCTCCCCTATAACCAAACCCCCATACTAACATACCAAACACCCAACCAAAACACTTACTTAAACAAAAATCAAACACACATCAAACCTACCAACACCACAATAATACACAAACCCCTACTTAATCTCATATCATACCTACATCACAACCACTTCACACCCCAAATAAAAAACAAATAACATAATAACAACCTCCACCCACCCCAACAACCCCCCACCCCCAACCACAATACTATCATCACTCAAAAAAAAACCAAAAAACTAATAACTAAAAACCTAATAATTAACCAAACCCTCCCCCCAACCCCTACCCCCCACAAATCCTCCCCAAAAATCACCTCCTTCACCACAAACTACAAAACTAAAACACATCACCAAAAAACACCAACCCCACCCCAAACATCAAAATAAAAAAAAAATTAAATACTAATCCAAATTTAACCTCTCTATATCTAATCTCTTCTCTAAAAACATCTCCCCCCCCCCTCACAATTTAAAATTCATACTCCCTTTATAAAAATAATAACCTCTCAATCTAATCTTACTCATTCTATCCCTTTTAATTCTTCTATACTCCACACCACTATCCATAAACATAAAATACCACTACATCTACAAACTACATCCCAACATCACCTCAAAATATCTTAAATAAAACCAACCACAACAACAAAACACTAACAAACCCCCAACTAACAACCATATACACCTACCACCAACAACTTCACCACCAAAACCTACCCACTCCCCCCCCCCACAAAAAACTCAACATAACTACCAAAAAAAAAAAACACAAACCAAAAACAACATCCAAACACAAAACCAACCCACCACCCCCCAACAAATTCAAACCAACCCAAATACCACCCCAAAACACACACCCCCAACCCAACCCCACAACCCACCCCACACACACCATCTAACCCAAAACCCCCCACCCCCCCAACCCCCAAAACTCCAAACAAAACCAACCAAAAAACACCAACCACCCCCAAACCAAACACCAAACACCCCACCCAACCACAACCCCCACCACACCCCAACCAAACCTACCCACCAACCCCCCCACCAACAACACCCAAACAAACAAAAAACTACCCCACCCACCACCCAAACAACCCTACCCCCCCCCAACCCCCAAAAACCCACCACACAACAAACCAACAAAACCAAAACCAAACAACAACCCAAAACCAACACCTACAAAAAACAACCAAACACCCAACACTCAACCCCACCCCAACACCCCCAAACCCCCACCCCCCCAAACCCACACCAAACCCAAACCCCCCCCCCACCCCCCCACAAAAAAACACCCCAACACCCCACCCACCCACAACACCAACCCCCAACAAACAACAAACCCAACCACACCCCCACCACCACAAACCACCCCCCCCACAACCCACAACACTCAAAAAACACCAAACCAACAACCACCCCCACCAACCCACCCAAAAAACAAACCCCCCCCAACACAACCCATCCCCCCCCCACCACCACACCAACCACACCTCCTATACAAAACATTCCAAAATATCCACCAAACCATACCACACACACACCCCACCCAATACCCTACCCCAACCCCAAAACCCCCCCAACACCCCACACCAATCCCCACAAAATAAAAAACACAAATATACAACCATACCACACCCAAAACACAACAACCCCACTTACCACAACAAAACCCAAAACCCACCACAAATCAAATCCCAAACACCAACAATCCAACCCAAACCCACATCAACACACACAAAAAAAACACACCACACACCACAACCCAAACCCCCCCCAACCCACCCCACAAACACCCCCCCAAAAAAAAAAACCCAAACCACCCCACCCCAACTCACAACACACCCACACACAAAAACACCCACCCCACCACACTTCACACCACAACACCACAATAACCACACCCTACCCAACACACCACACCACACACCCACAACCACACACAAACCCCCCACCCCCACCCACATCCCCTACCTACAACCACACACTACAAACCCACACCACCAAATCAAAACCCTAAAAAAAAAAAACCTCATACACCTCCAACCATCCACACACACTACACACAACCATAAAAAAACAACATAATCTCCCCCCCCAATCACCAAAATCCAACCACAACCCTAAACTACAACTCCCAACAACACAAAAAATAAAAAAAATACAACAAAAAAAACAAACCTACCCAACCAAACCCCAACTAACCTCCAACCCAAAACCCCAACAAAACCACAAACACCCAACCACACAAAACAAAACTACCCCCATACACAACACAACCAACACAAACAAAACCCACCCCACAATCATCACAAAACCCCATAATATCCCCACCAACCAACCAAACCATTTATCCAACACCTAAATTACCAACAATTCCCCCCACAACCCCATCATCTCAATACTCCCATCCTCCTCTCACTAATATTATACTCCTCTTTACTCCTCAAAAACCCTTAAAAACACTACTACCACCTAATACAAAATTAAACACCTTACCCCTCTCAATACCACAACAATAAAATATAACCTATATTTCCCAAAACCATAACCCCCACAACATACCACCTTTAACACTTAATAACCACTCTCTATTTAACACCCCATACATCACCAAAATACCAACAATACCCCTCTACAATATACCATCAACCCTTCCTCTCAATATCACCAATTACCCAAAAATCACTATAATTTTAACTATCACTTTACCTTTACTACTTTTTCTATTCTATCTCCTATCAAACTATCTATTTCTCTCATCTTCTAATTTCAAATAAATCAAAAATCAAATTTTCTTATAATAAAACACTAACAACACAAAACTCCCAACCAACAACCCTTCAAAAAAACACAAAACCATTCCACACAAACCACCAAACACAAAAAACCCCCCCAATCCCCCAAACCCAACCACCTCATCTACTCCCCAACCCACAACCCCCAAAACACTAAACCCCCCCACCCCCATCCCCACCTACCCCCCACCCAAAAAACCCCACACCCCTCTTCACAAACCAACAAAAACCATCAACCACAAACCACAAACCCACCAAACAAATAACACTCCACCCAAACATCACTCACCCCCACAACACCCACAACACCCCCCACACAACCCCCAACCATCACACAACCACCACACCCCCACCCCAAACACAACCAACCCCCAACCAAACCAACCCACCCAACCCCCCCCCAAACACCATCACAAACCACCCCAACCACCAACCCCAAACCACCCCACAAACACACCACACACCACCCCCCCCATCCCCCCCAACCCTTTTAACTAAAAAATCCCTTCTCACCCCCTAACATTCCCAAACAAAAACAAACCCATCCCCCACCCCCCACCACCCCCCCATACCCCACCCCCCCATCCCCAATACACCCCCAAACCACACCCCCACCCCCATCACCCCTACCCCTCCATATCCCCCCACCCACCATCAAAAAAAAATAAACCATACCCCCCCCCCACCACCCCACCTTTATCCATTCCCAATCCCACACCCCCCACACATCCAAAACAATAATTTACCATCATCATTAAAAAAATCCAAAACACTTTAAATTTCCATATCACTTTTCTTTAACCTAACATACAATCCACTCCCACCCCCCCACCATCCCCTATCTCACTCCCAAAATAATTACCCACTCTAATTCCCCCCACCTATCTTCTACAATTCTTAACCCACAAAAACCATTCCCCTCCCCACCTTATTACAAATATCCCATTCCCCTTTCAACTACTTCACACATTTTTATTCTCAACTCAACATCATCAATTTACATTCCATACCTACCCTACAACCTTTTACACACCTCTCACCCACCACTAAAATACATATCAAAACCTTTATAAAACCCCTTTAAACCCATCATCCATACCCTCCAATTTAATACAAATAATCCATATACACCTAAACAATCTACCCTACCCCCACCCCATCTCACCAAAAAAAACAAACATAAAAATCAATATAAAAAATATCACTCCCAACCTAAACCCAACACCCTACACCCCCCCCCCAAACAATACCCACCCACCCTCTTTAATTCAATAATAAATAAACCCTCCCCACCCCCCCCTCCCTCCAAAACATACCACATAAACCCCTTCCCCCACCCCACCCCTCACTACCACTACCCCCAAATCAAACCAATAATAAAAAAATCAAAAAATCCCACTCATATACAACAAAACACCCACCACACCACACACACAAACCAAACCCAAAAATTTATAAAAAATAATAAACTAACCACACAAACCAAAACATTCAACCACTCCAACATTATAAAACCTAAAAACAAAATAACCACAACCTCCTCCCATCCCCCTCAACACAAAAACACAAAAACTTACAATAACCCATACCAATACAATCCCCCCTCCACAACATACCCACCCCCATCCCCCCAAAAACAAAAAAAATATCATAAACTCTTCTATCAAAATAAAACAAATATAACCCCAAAAACACAAAACACCCATACCAAAACCCCAACCCCTACACACCCTCCTACACACCACAAAACCAACCAAACACACCCCTCACCCCAACCCCCCACCAATCCAACTTATCACCCACCCACATCCCCCCCACCATTCCTACCCAATACCACTACCTACCCAACAAACTCCACATCACCCCACAACCACCACCCCCACACCCCCATCCCCCACCAACCAACCCATACCACCCTCACCCACCCAAACAAACCCCCTACTAAAAAAATCAAAAAAAAAACCCCCCCCCCACAAATAAATCCAACCCAAATTAATCCAAAAAATTAACCCCCCCCCCTCCACCCAATTTAATATTCCACTAATATCCTTCACATATTACACAAAAAACACACACACAATACCCCCAAAAAAACACCCCCCCCCAACACCCCATCCCCTCCCCATCCCCTCTAACAATCCAAAAACAAACACCACCAATACCCTCCCCTAACCCCACTCCACCCCCCTATATCCATTCACAAATCCAAAAACCCCAAACCCCCCCACCCCCCTCATCATATCATTAACCCTTACTTCCAATACCCATCCAAACAACACAACACCACTAACTATACCAAATCCAAATCATAACTAAACAACCTTACAACCACAATACCTATCCATATCTATAAAATAAACCAACCCCACAAACCACAAACACTTCTTTCTTTTAATACTTCCTTCAAACCCTATACCACCAATTTAATCATTAACAAAAATACAAACAATAAAAACAATCTCACCCACCACCAACTACATCATACATCCACTATCCCCATCCCCACCCATTAATCCCCTAACAACACCCATACCCCTATAAAACCTACTCATCCCTTCACCTAACAAATCAAAACACAAACCAACCAAAACACCCACTCCCCACCCCCCCAACAAACACTAAACCCCCCATATCAAAACCCCCAACACACAAAACCCCATCCACAACAACACAAAACTCAAAAAATATTCAAAAAACATAAAAAAATTCCCAACCAATCTATTCCCCCTTTTCTTCCTACCCAACATTCATTCAACAACAATATAATCCCCCCCATTTCATAAAAAATCAAATACCATAAAAATACACAACAACACACACACACACACACAAATAAACCTAAAACAAAAAAAACATAAAAACAAACCACTCAAAAACACCTCATAATAAAACCTATACAAACCCCCCAACCCATAAAAAACAACAATCACCCACTACAAAAAATCCAAATTTATTATACACATAAAAAAAATACAAACAATAAAACCCAATACAACACAACAAAACAAAACAATAAACAACACACTCACCAAACCAAAAAACTTAACCACAAAATCAACATACCCAAACCAACAAAACACAAATCAAACCCACCACAAAAACTTCACACTCCACTCAACCAAAAAATCTTACCCCCCCACACCAATACCCAATAAAAAAAACTCACTGGAGGAAATGGGGTGGCTAAAGCCTGTTGAAAAGTCTAGTGCTAAATCTTGATATTAGTTATACTGAGTGGTGGTGCTCTACTGTGGTTGGTGTAAAACCTGCAATTCTCATGGTATTGTCAAAAGTGTTCGAATCAAATTACAGTATCTTCATAAGAAAGACTGCAAGGTACACTATTCGGACAAATGGAGTGGGTTCTGAAATAAATGTGTTGGAAATTAGGATTATTATGATTATTATAATTATCAACATCAATTTGGACCCAGTTTATTTTTTGTATTACCAACATGATGTTCTGCACTGAAGTCTTGTAAATCAATCACAAAACTGTTGTGGCCGGCAACTAAAATTACACTAAATTTCTGAGGAAAATTTTGATTTTACTTTTTCCTAAAATAAACAATAATTAATAATTTGTGTTAAAGGTATTATTGAAGGATTTTCTTCTGGGTGGCTCATCAAGACTGTGGTCCTCCTATTGTCAATCATTTGGTGACACGTCGTACGTGCTCGTCAAACAATATTAAACAAGAGTGTTTTTTGGGAGAATTCTTTCAGAACGATGGCCTGCGCTGAATAGGCCCAGGTTGGCATCTGAGCTTCAATCTGAAAAATTTCTACTCAAGGTTAAATGTTTTGGCATTCTATTTGGAGATAATCCATTTTCAGAATCTCCGTCCCAGTTAAAACTTATCCACGTCTATCGACCATTAAGTGGGAAAAGTGCAAACTCTTGCTGAGCAATGCCTACGGTGACTTGCTAAACAGGCGCGTGCCATAATCAAGAGGAGACTGGGCTTGCTGCACAGTCTCTTACCACGGTTTTAGTCGGCGTTCCCTCTCGGGGAAGCAGTTACATGTGATTGTGGTTTTGTTGGGGTAAATTTGACAAACATATACTTTTACGCTTTGTACTATAATGCTCAATTGCTGTTTTTTTGGCAACAATTTGGGCCCATTCCTGTGCTCCGGACCCCACTTTGACGATGCACTTGGTTTACAAATTCTATTTGGGGGGTAAAATGATACTGGTTCCGCCCTTGCTCCTCCACATCGAGAGGAGTCTGCTTAAGTGGCCCAGACGGGTTCGAGTGCCGTGCCTCCTGGAAAGATTGTTTTCTGGTGTGAATCCGAGGAAAGTGTGAATGAAGAAAGAAACTTGAACGTCTCTGCTTAGATTGCTGACACCATGTCCCAGAAAAAAAAACAGTGAAGAAAGAGTCAGTATGGTTCTGTCTTACATCACAAAATACTAACACTACCATACAACCCGGGTCGATGTCCACTAAGATGAGTGCTTTGTAGCTAATTATAGCTCCTTGAACTTGAGCTGAGTGCGTTTGTGTCAGGTGTGTGTTGTCCTTTAGACTCCGTTCGCGTGCGTTCTTTTGATCCGTTGTGTGTGTTCTTTGCAGTGAGCGGACTTCCCTGGTAGGGAAGTGCCACCTGATGCGGACCCCCCACCCACCCCCCCAATTCCAGTTTGATGGGTTTCTAGTCTGAAAGTCTTCCATGCTGTTGTGGTGATGCCCAGGCAACTCTTGCACCATCTGCTCCGGGCTCTTTGGCACACCACACAGCCCGGCAGACCTTTTGGGATAATACAGGGATCAATTTGTAGTAAAGGAGCCGTGGAAAATGCTCACAGAGAAATTCAGTGGGATCAAACCTGTGGAATTCAGGCGCGATCGATTATACTGTATTGGAAACGGCTCTTTTTGTGATGAATGGTAATGGTGAATATGCAGCCCAGGGGTAGAATGAGGATGATTGGTTACAGTGATTACAATTTTAAAGCAAACCCAGTGGCTCTCAAACTTTTTAGACATTGAGTATTCTGTCAGTGTGTGATGCATGAATCCAATCCATTTTGGATTGCAACAAAGTAGAAAATAAAGTAGAAAGTCAAGTTTACTTTCTTTGCTCTCCAACTTAAGACCTGCTTTTTTTTTTCGCCAGACTTTTGGCTCGGATTTTTTTGTGTGGCTGTTATGATTGTTTCTCTTGGACTTTTTGATTTTGTATGGTTAGGTTAACTGTCATAGCTTGGCTCGGCCGACCTTTAACCCCGCCTACCATTACAATTTCAGGCGCAATTGGATGTAGGCGGGGCTAAAGGTCAGCTGGAACCAGGGCTTTTTTGGGTTAAATTGTGAAGCTCTTTGGGATCACTAGCTTGTATTAATAATGCTAACTTTTTAATATTATATAATATAAGTTCCTATGTTGCTCTATTCTTAATTTGTCTTTCTGTGGAGAAGATTCATTGCATGACCCAGTAAAGTGGTCAGCACAACGACTCTGCCTCAGCTTAAATTCCCATGTTATTCACATCAGTATTTAGGTCTTTGCCCCCCCTCACCCCCCCCCCAACCCCCCCCCCCCCCCCCCCCCCCCCCCTCCCCCCCCCGCCCCCCCACCCCATTGTTGAATAAATCACAATAATTTCTTGT